ACCGCGAGACTAATTTAACAACTGCAGCAATTCACTATGGCAAGAAAGGCCTGTAAAATGGGTCAAAACTCACTTAACAACTGTCCTGCTTAGCAACCAAAGTTTCGGACTCATAAAATGAATGGGACAAAAATTCACGTAACCAATGCCTCACTTAACAACAGAAATTTGTGGGGGGCCGCTCAATTGCGGTCGTAAGTCAATGACTTACCTGTCTTGTCGGAACACAACCTACAAAAGTGATTTAAGCACAAGCAGTCACTGCGTCCCCCGGTGAAGAAAATTCACTTAAAAAACATTTTATTCGACTGCCATTTTCTCCTTTCCTGACATTAAATTTTCTTGTTAAGTCGGGGTTTCCGGGAAGGAGTCAGACAGAGAAACCTGAGCGGTCCACTCCGAATTTTGACACACACACACACCCCGGTCATGGTCCTTTATTTGCGCCAAAGAAACTCAAGGAAATGGCCGCGTTAGGATGGTTCACTTCAGCATTAGTCCAGGTTTATGGCCTCTGTTGTGCTTTGTCAGGGAATGTTTACGGTTAAAAAGAGACTTGGACCAGGATAAAAAAATATAAAAAAGGAAATGTTTGCTTTGCTGTACGTTTGTTGTAAACATCGTGAGTCCAAACAAATCAAGACATTTTTGAAATGTTTAAGATCACGCCAGGATGACTCGGTCGGCCCAGACGTCCTGAGAGCCTCTTTTGCAAGGGAGAAAAAAAAATATTGTGATGCTTTTGAGAAAACTTCAGGGAGAAATATCGGGTGGGACGTAGCGTGGCAAACTGGGAATTATGTTGTAAAACCACAATAAAAAAAAAAAGATCTTATTATCAGACTCCATATAGTCCTCGACTTACGACTACCATTGAGCCCAAAATTTCTGTCGCTAAGTGAGAGATTTGTTAAGTGAATTTACAGTTTTTCTTGCCATAGTTGTTAAGTGAATCTGTCTCCCCCATTGACTTGGCTTATCAGAAGTTCACAAAAGGGGATCATGTGACCCCGGGACATTGCAACCGTCATAAGTACATGCCAGTTGCCAAGCGCTTGGATTTTGATCACTGGGGGAATGCTGCGACGGTTATAAGTGTGGAACCCGGTCGTAAGTCGCTTTTTTTCAGCGCTGTTGTAACTTCGAACGGGTGATTAAACTAACAATTGTCATTCGAGGATTGACTGTATTGTAAGGTTGCGCTGAAAAGCTCCGGCATTCCCGTGGAAATGAGGAAAATGAGAAATATTGTGCTTTTTTTTCCCTTTCCCTTCCCCTGAAGTCGGCAACGTATCGCCTTCCGGATGAAAAGATACAATCGATCCTGCCTGTCCGAGCTGAGCTTTTCCTGCCAAAAGTGGAGCGCCCCCCCTTTTCCCTTCCCTGCCACCCCCCAAGAAGTTCATCGAGGGAGGGAAATGAGATAAGTTGTATTTCCCCCGGATTCATCCTCCAGGACCTCAGGCCGGGCCAGAATGAAGTGTAAAATAGCACGGACATCTGGACACAAACGGGGGGGGGGGGGACAGCTGTGTTGTGTCATGGTTTACACCGGAAACTCTGTTGGTTTGACTCTATCGTTGGACAATCCTCATGGAAAGATAGGCAGCCTGTTTTCAGCCGTGTCCCTGGACCTTCCTTCTCCTATTAGCGTAAGGATGTCCACAGGGCAGTGGTGGGTTCCTCCCGGTTCGGCCCGGTTCGGCCGAGCCGGTAGCGGTGATGATATGATGTCACCGAACCGGTTCTCTTTGTCCGCGAGCTGGGCCCTCCCGCCCGCCCCCACGTTATTCCTACCTTTTATTTCTTCTTTTTTAGCCCAGCTGATAGGTGCAGCAGAGTGCAGCGATCGCGCGCGAAGTGCATGCACGAAGAGAACCAGTAGTAAAGCTGGTTAGAACCCACCACTGCCACAGGGTATGGTCAAAAAAACTCCAGAAACTTCTACGATGTGGTATGAGGGTAGCTCCACCTTTTTCTAGATGGCAGGACAAGAAACAATGGTGGGAAATTAACCAAGGAGAGAAGCAGCCTGGAACTAAAGAGAAATTTCCTTAACGGTGAGAGCAATGAATCCATGGAACAGCTTGCCTTCAGAAGTTGTGGGGGGCTCCACATCACTGGAAGCTTTCAAAACAAGACTGGACAACCATTTATCTGAAATGGTATAGGGCAGTGACGGCTAACCTTTTTGCCATCGCGTGCCAGCAGCAGGGGAGGTGTCATGCACATGCATGCCCACATCCATAATTCTATGCGCCCCGCCCCTGTGCATGCATGCGCAACCCCCCTCACTCCTGGCACGTGATGGCACGTTTTTCTCTCTCCCCAGGCTCCAGAGCCTTTCTAGGAGCTTGGGAAGGGTGAAAACGGCCTTCCCCACTGCTCCGGAGGCCGGAAACGGCCCGTTTGCCAACTTCCAGTGGGACTGGAAAGCCCGTTGTCAAACTTCGATGCTATCTCAAAATTAAATGAATTTCCAAACTGCCAATCTTTAAGGTAATCTTTTCTTTAATTGAGCACAGCCACCGGATCATGACTCGATGCGGACAAGACTGACCTTTTGCCCCCCAATCCCTCCCTTTCCGATCCCCAAATCTCTGCTTCTCATTGGCTATCTTCCAAGTCATTCTCCAGACTTCTTGTCTCGTCATTTCCCAGGAATGTCTCCCCCCCTCATTTCCACGACAACCCGGCTTCAAAGGGATTTAGCAGGCAAAAGCTGAGGCGCTGACACCCGTTTTTTTATCTCCCCAGCCTCCAGAACCTTTCTAGGAGCCTAGGGAGGGCGAAAATGGCCTTCCCCATCCCCTACCCCAGAGGCCTTCTGGAGGCAGGAAACAGCCTGTTTCCCTACTTCCAGTGGGCCCAGAAGGCCCAAAAATCAGCTGGCCGGCACATGCATGCGCACCGGAGCTGAGCTCGCGTGCCCACCAATATGGCTACACGTGCCACCTGTGGTGTGACACATGTGTCATAGGTTCACCATCACGGATATATTGTCTCCTGCTCAAGCAGGGGGTTAGAAGACTAGACTCTGTTCTATGTCCTATACGTCCTATATGTCTGTTGCGAGAGCTTCCATCCCATCGTTGGGCCACCATCTTGCCACCATCTCATCGACAGCTCTGCAGTGGAGTAATATTCACCTCTTATGAGATTGGTCCATCTTAAGGATCTCTTCTTCCTTGCAATTTGCTATTGTGCTGCTTGGATTCTTTCTGTGTTGGCTTCTGGTTCATTCGGTTGTCTACCTTGATTTCTAGGTTGGTCCAGTGGGCTCTGTATTTCTAATAAAAGAGTACCATTATACAGGGAGAAACCTTTGTGAGGTGTTTTTTTTTTTCATAATATACCGTAATCAAAGAGTCAATAGTCCTTTTTAAAAAAAAAAAGAAAGAAATACCAACCCAAGGGTTCAGTTATATACGGGAACTAATTTTCCTGTTTACACACTTGCAACAAGCTGCGTTAGATTTTATGTCACATTCTTCTCTTACAAATTTTGGCTTGGGGAGCAGTTTTGTGTTTGCGCAAAGAAAGCCAGCCACTCTTTCTCTATATTTTAGATTTAGAAGCAAGGTATTTTGGAAAACATTTCCAAAAATTGTTTTGTTTTTTTTTTTGGATTTATATACCGCCCTACTCCCGAAGGACTCAGGGCGGTGAACAGCCACAGAATAAAACACATAAATACAAAAATTTAAAATAGAATAAAAACGAATTAAATAATTTGGCTGAGACAAATTTAAAATACCCAATAATTTAAAACAAATTAAAATTTACATTTAAAAGGGGAAAAGATTTAGGCCAGGCCAGTCAACAATCAACCATTGTTGATGGTTGATTGGACCATTCTAAGAAGCTTTGATTCCAATAAGCTTCAATTACTCCTAAAAACTGCAGTGCAGATCCAACACCAATTTCATCAGACTCTCCAACTTTGGATATTACAAATTGTTGGCCACGACCAAGCCTGTTTCATAAGCACGAGTGATTTGAGACATACAAAACAACTCTTTAAGGTCAACACATCATAATTTACCAGCATGTCCAAGCCTGGTCTAAATAGTCCATCAGAAACAATTAAATCCAGGTTTGTTTCATCAGAATTGTGGTCCATGAAAGGCTGGCTCCATAATCTCTCCTTTCAAGATCACCTGTCTCCATGAAGTAGTTTCTTTCTTGGGTTACAACAAGCCGTGGTTTTGTTTCTAAGCACTCAATGCCGTGCCAAACGAGAAACGCTGAATATTCCTGAATAAGTATAACAGAATAACAACAGAGTTAGAAGGGAACTTGGAGGTTTTCTAGTCTAGTCTTCTAGTCCAGGAGCCCATGGTGGACTTCCTTCTAAAGTTGTTCTGCTTTAGGATGATACAAATGCATCCCTGTAATCTTAATTTCCTTCTGGACAGCTTTGGAAACCCAGAGTCATCCATCCCAGTAAATGGACATATTCAAAGGAGGCAGATTGGGAACAAAATGGAAGGTTTAAAGCAGTGGTGAAATTCAAATTTTTTTACTACCGGTTCTGTGGGCATGGCTTGGTGGGCGTGGTGTGGCTTGGTAGGCATGGCAGGGGAAGGATATTGCAAAATCTCCATTCCCACCCCACTGTGGGGCCAGCCAGAGGTGGCATTTGACAGTTCTCTGAACTACTCAAAATTTCTGCTACCGGTTCTCCAGAACCTGCTGGATTTCACCCCTGGTTTAAAAGAATTTTTGAAATAAAGGTCCCATCACAAAGACTCTAGAACGGTGTTTCCCAGCTGTAAAACATTTTAAGACGTGTGGACTTCAACTCCCAGAATACCCCAGGCATCCTCTCTTTCTTTTTGCACGTTCTGCTCAATACTTTTTTTTCCAGGCCAGTCAGGATCTGAACAAAGATCTGGACACCTTTGAAAACGGAGATATGGGATATTGGTGATGGTTTTCCATCACTCTTACGTTATTGAATTCCTTCCTTCTGCTTTCTCTTTCCGGCTTTGTTGCAGCTGGTCTAAGAGTCCCCAAGGCTGGAAATTTCAGAAGACGAGGCAGACATGGCTTCTTCTGCATATGTATGACAAAGACCAGGTAGGTTCCCCCCCTCACTTCATCCCCAAATGGGAGGTTCAGCCACGCAGCCCTGTTACAAAGTCCGGTTAACTCTACGATTTGCCCATCTAAGTCTTTTCCAGAGGGAGAGGCCCCAAGCTGACCTCCCCTGCCTTCCTTGCTCTTGGGTAAGCAGCTGTGGTTTGGGTACCCAATTTGGTCAGGGATGGAGACGGATACCCTCCTATGAGGTGGATCACCCAGTGAATAGTGATCTATAGTTTCTGCCCATCCTACACCAGCCGATAGAGTTAACCTGTACTGGATTAGATCCCCAAAACAGATCTTCATCTGGTTCCTCTGGAATTATCTGTCCCCAGGATTTAGTGGGCTTCCCCTACATTGATGCTCTTTAAACAAGCCCTTCAGAGCTGGCCCTGGCCCCGTGCCTTGAGGTACACCAGAGGGCACCCCTTATGAAAATGATGGGTTCATCATAATGTAGGTTATTTTTCCCAATTCGGGGTTGTTGTTTTTCCGCATTGTCCAGGCTGCGTGGTTTTTCATTCTTTTGTTCATCAGTGTTTCTCAACCTCATTTGCTTTAAAATGTGTGGACTTGAACTCCCAAGAGTTCTGCTCTATATCCTCCTGAGTTGGATGGCTTGTTAGATAAATTAAATGCAGATGCAGCCTGAGGCAAAAGCTGGACTTTCTTCATCCACACGGAACAGACCCATCCTCCAAAGGATAGGATGAGAAAGGAAAAGCTTCTTCTGTTCAGAAAACGATGTCGCTTCGATGTCTATCTCTCCAGGTTGCCTGGGTCTTCTCTCAAACACCATGGCTCCACTTATTGTGGCTGGCTAAAAACACTTTGCTCTCCCCTCCCTTCTCCCTCTTACAGGTCTCCGATCAATACTTCTCCATTTTGCTGCGGTATCTGGAAGGACTTCAAGGCCGGGCCCGAGACACAACGGTGCAGAAAGCAGAAGCTCTGATGAAGGAGTACGATCAATCTGACATGGAAGACGATCTCCTGGAAGAGAAATGTGACCGTATCCGCAAAGTTTTGCAGTTGCTCTCCTGACTTTCCATTTCTTAGATCCTTCTATCGGCATAAAGTTACAAGAACTAGATATAAAATTTTAGCTGTTCTTTAAACTTCAAACTCTTGGCCACAAACCTGACGTTGCTTGGAAATCTCTTCCAGGGTTGCCGAGGAAGTGGAAGAAATAACTAAAAATAAAAATAAAAATCAATAAACGGATCGGTATCGAAAACGATACTTGGATTCAGCTTTTCAGAATTAGCTTCCTTTCCCTCTTTTCTTTGGTAACGGTTACAGCTGTCAATCTTCCAGTAGATCTTTCTCACAATATTCTCAAATGGACCTGCGACCAGAATGATGTTCCTCAACCTGGAAATTCCAGAACTTTCGTTCCATTCCATCTCAAAAGATGAGATGGGCAGGAGGAGCCACCCCCAATCTTTCCCTGCCTACCTATTTTGTTGGCTCCCAATTAAATGGCCGCTTTGTTTAACCTAAAAAGTCCTGGAAGCTGTAACCTTTGTCTAAACCACTATTGTTTACTTTGAATATTTCTTCTGTTACTTTGAATATTTCTTCTGCTTTTGTGTTCCTTAGTACTTTGTGGTTAGCACCAAGGTCCTTGTCCATGGACAAGGTCAAAAAGTTCAGGATGGAGCATCCACAACTTCCGGAGGCAAGCCTTTCCACTCGTTTATTGTCCTCACAAGTTCCTCCTTTGTTCCAGGTTGCTTCTCTCCTTGATGAGTTTCCACCCATTGCTTCTTGTCCTGCCCTCTGGTGCTTTGGAGAATAGGTGGACCCCCTCTTCTTTGGGGCAGCCCCTGAGATATTGGAAGACTGCTCTCATGTCTCCCCTAGTCCTTCTTTTCATTAAACTAGACATACCCAGGATCATCTGACTGAAACCCTACCACTTTTGATCTGCATCATACATGCAACACCCATGAAAACAGGTGTTGCGTGTATGTTTATAGCTGTCAACTTCTCAACCCCATAGATGCTGCTTGATTAGGAGAGGAAACCTTTTTTCTAATATTGTTGATGCATCCCTCTCTCTCTCTCTCTCTCCTATTTATCCTCAGAGGGTGATTTTCCAACTGGGTAAATCTTGTTTTTTTTGTGGATTATTTTTTTTTTTTTTGCCTCTTGGACTTTTTTTCCCCTGTTTCGAGAGGCTAGACGTCTGCAGACCGTCTTGTGGGGGAGGGAAAATGGACCCTGAGATTTGTAATTATTCAAAGGTCGCCGTTGTTAATTATATCGGTTGTCCAGCTGCGATTCCCGGCTTCTTGACACCTTTGGTTCTTATTAAAGTGAGAAGATTTGTCTGGGGTTGTGACAAGGCAGCCTTCAGAATCTCGGGGGGGAGAAAAAATATGGAAGTCATTAGTGCTTCCAAAGAAATCATTTAAGCAACTTCATCTGGGCAGCCAAATATGTAAGCAACCCAAGATGTGTTATGTTAACACAATTCGAATGGAATTTAGTACATGAACAAGAGCCAAGACAGGATTGGGCAAAACAAAACATTTTACACACATTTGAAGCAGCCCAACAATCCGCCAATTGTCGTTTAAAGTTGCCTGCTTCGGCTCATCGTGGTTTTCCTATCATTGCTGCCTTCTTTAATTTTTTTTTAGGGTTGTTTTTTATTTTCTTATTGCAGGTGAGCCCAAAATGTTTGTTGCTAAGCAAGACGGCTGCTAAGCGAGTTTTGCCCCGTTTTACGACATTTCTTGCCACCGTTGTTAAGTGAATCACTTGCAGTCATTAACTTAGTCACCCGGTTGTTAAGTGAATCCGGCTTCCCCATTGGTTTTTTGCTCATCAGAAGGTCGCAAAAGCGGATCACGTGACCCTGGGACACTGCATCCGTCATAAATACGAGTCAGTTGCCAAAGCGTCCGAATTTTGATCCCCTGGCCATTGGGGATGCTGTGATGGCCATAAGCGTGAAAAACAGTGATAAGTCACTTTTTCCAGGGCCGTTGTAACTTCAGACGGCCACTAAATGACATGTTGTAAGTCAAGGGTACTTTCTGGTATAGGGTCTCCTGCTTGAGCGGGGGGTTGGACTAGATGACCTATAAGGTCCCTTCCAATCTCTGATAATCTGTAATCTGCATTTGGTCCAGCAGCCATGTTGGTCTCTAAAAAAGGCACATAAATTTAATAGGTAATGAGAAATTGAGAATGCTAAATAAGTCATAGCTGCTGGCAAAGCACGAGGGGATAAATTGGGAATTCAGCTTGAAAGGATTGCTTGTTTAACGGGGAAGATGGAGCAAAACAGCTGGATTTCTCTCCAGGCCCTTCATTGGAGAGCCGTGGGGCAGACGCGTCCTCTGAACAGCTGTGGGAATCCCTGTGAAGTTTGAAGTTGTGCATTTTGTGCAGAAAGTTCTTTGAGTATAGAAATGCTGCTTCGGAGGGAGAAATGAAGACGGGTTTTTTAATGGATTACGGTGTTCAAGACTTTTAAATCCAGGCTGGTTCCGCAGGTAGAAGAAAACAGACTCGGAGAAAAACATCTTTTTTCTCTCTCTCTCTCTCTCCCTAATCGTGAGCCAGAGTTTGGAATTTGCAAGCTTCCCGCCGACATAATGGTGCACCATTATGACTTTCCCAGGAAGAGAGCTTTAAAAAAACAGCTTCCTTGTTGATTTGCGTATCTGTGAATGGGGTGAGATACAATAGGAGGAAAAACCTGTAGAGGCTTATCGGAAGGTCTTATCACTTTCAAACAGGCCCTTTGTCCGAATACAATGGGGGAAATTTTGCCAGGCAGATGATTGACCAGAAAATACAGCCTGTCTGCTCCCCCACCCCCTCTTCTCGACTTCCTTGCTGGATCAGAATTTCCTGACAAAAATTAAAGCTAAGCCTAGTTATTAAGTGGAATAACGTACGTGAATTAACAAGTTTTTCTTTAAAAAAAAGGGGGGGGGGTTATGAAATAATCTCAGGCCTCAGAGGCAAAATTGGCTTTGACCATGGTGGAGCCTGAAATAGAGTTTACGTTTCAAACTTTGGTGGCGTTAAAAGAAAAATGGGCGTGAAAAGGGACTATTGTAAGCCTGCAATGTGCATTACAATCCAGTGTTTTATTACACACACCCACACAAAAGAATGGTGGTACAGGGAAGGAAGGAAGGAAGGGAAAGAAGGTAGGATAAGGGGATGGAGGGAAGGAAAGGAAGTTAGTTGAGGAGATGGAGGGAAGGGAAGGAAGGTAGGATAAGGGGATGGAGGGAAAGAAGGAAGGAAGGAAAGGAAGATAGGTTGAAGGAATGGAGGGATGGAAGGAAGAAAGGGAAGGTAGGTTGAGGAAATGGAGGGAAGGAAGGAAGGTAGGATGGGATGGAGGGAAAAAAGGAAGGAAGGAAAGGAAGATAGGTTGGGGGAATGGAAGGAAGGAAGGGAAGGTAGGTTGAGGGGATGGAAGGAAGGAAAGGAAGATAGGTTGAGGGAATGGAGGGAAGGAAGAAAGGAAGGGAGGATAAAGGGAAGGAAGGGAGGGAGGAAGAAAAGGAAGATAGGTTGAGATGGAGGGACGGAAAGTAGGATAAAGGGGATGGAGGGATGGAGGGAAGGAAGGTTGAGGGGATGGAGGGAAGAAAGGAAGGAAAGAAGGAAAATTGGTGATTATAACTAGTGTTGTTTCATTTTTTTATCTTATTTCGGCCACTTTTCAAGGAGGGCAGCTACAACTCCAAAGCCCAGCTGCTGTGTTTAACCGAACTTCCATAAGAAAATAAGGACTTCCTCTAGATTTCCACAGTGACTTTACCTCTATAGGTTTGAAGACCTGGAAACTGATGTGCAAAACATCTGGAGGAGTACCCCTTGAGGGAAAGGATGGGATAAGCCTTGTTGTGGGCTTTCAATGTTTTTGAAAGGAGAGCTGGGGCTAAAAATGTGGTTCGAGGGGACATTATGAACATTAGAACAGAAGGAAGAGTTTGTCCCAAATCGGATCCTGTTACCGTATGTCCTTTGGACAATAGGAGCTTCTGGTGCTGATTAAATGTTACATCTTCTCACCTTCTTGAATGAAGGTCAACCTTTATATCTAACAGTCTTCTGTTCTCCTGAAGGGCGTAGGGTGGGTGGCCGGAATGTCTTCTTCCTGCCTTCCTTTCTCTAGAATATTCCCAGCAAACTGACGCCCAGATCCAAAATTTAGAATTAATGAAGAATTTGGCCAGTGAGCTACAAGAACTTAATATGGATCCTTGCTAAGACCGACCAGAAGAACATTTCGTAATTTTGCAACTTGCTGAACTTTGTCCATTCATGTTGGGTTTTCTCCCAGGATTTCTACATTTCAAATTTTGATTTAAAACTATGGCCCTCTGGGCCAATGTTATAAATTGAAGCCGTCTAGAACACATCTTTTCCCATCAGGAATTTGTTAATTGACGCCCCCAAATCCTGTTTCAGTGACTTCTCGATAGCTGAAGTTGCAATATGGTAGTGACCTCTGCTGGCTGAAGGAAAAAAAAAACCCCAATCATCTAGAGAATTCTAATCCAAAGAGGCTCGAGAGTTTTATCCTCTGGACTTGTTCCTCCTTAGTTGCAAAGTATAGTAAGTGTGAGATTCTAAGAAACAGCAAACCTCATAAAAATTGCAACAGAGACCATGAACAAGAAAAAAAAGCAGATTTATTAAATATATATATATATATAAAGCTATAAATATACTCAACATTTGCTGTTGGGGTTGAGGGGACGGGAGGAGAGATTTATCCCCAATGACTTGTGACATTACCTGCTGTCTTCCCCAGTGTCTGTCTAAGGAAGCCAGCAAGGAAAGTTGCAAATGGTGATTACTTGAACATGGGGCATTGCAACCAGTTGTAAGTGTGAGCTGGTTTGCAAGGGCCACGATCACATGACTGCGGGGTTATTGGGACTGCCAGAACTCCGAGGATAGTTGTTGTAACCACCTGTTCTTTCAGCCCTGTCGTAATTTTGAATGGCCGCTCAATGAATGGTGGTAGGTCAATGCAAACCACCTGCATTTTTTCCAGATGTTGGGAACTGAATCTCAGGCTTACGTTGGACATGATGAAAGGACAGAAGAGCCAAATTAAAAAGGCATTCTATTTCCCTCCGGGACCTGCAACCACATACATACATGTCCATTGCCAAGAGCCGAATTTTGATCGCATGACCATGGCAATGCTACAATGGTCATAACTACGAGGACTGGTTGTAGTGTTTTTTCAATGCCTTTTTTTCAATGTTGTTGCAACTTCAAATGGTCATTAAGCAAATGTGTCTATAGCCATAGACATGGTTTTCCTGGATCTCTGACAAAATGACTGTAAGTCGAGAACTACCTGTAATTATTTTCAGTGCTCTTAAGCCCTTTGTTTAAACCAGGATTGTCCATCTCTGTCAACTTGAAGACCTGTGGACTTCAACTCCCAGAATTCCTCAGCCAGCATGGGGAATGCTGGGAATTGAAGTCCCACAGGTCTTAAAAGTTGCCAAGTTGGACACCCCTGGTTTAAATGATCCCTTCATCAAGTCTGTAAAAGAGCCCGTTTTTATTCATCCTCCCCTTGCAGAAAAAAAAGAAGAAAAGGAGACAGAGAAAGTGGGGGGGGGGGTTTCTCTTCTCCAACCTGGCCCCCCCTCTAAAAATTTCAGATATTTCAGTCCCAGCTTCTTTGGAAAGACCAACCCGCCTCTCCATCCCAAGTGTGAGTCAACTGTGCTTTAACCACAAGTGTCCTAAATTCCTCCTCCATGGTATTTTTCTTGGCACTGCCTTGACAAACACACACACCCCCTTCTCATCTGCCAGCAGTTAATTTTTCACAGAAATCCTTGGCTTCCGGGTAAAACGTTACGTCCCTTGCTTTTAATTTTTAACCCGCTGCTCCAGTTCTGCAGATTTGTTTCGTCCGTAAGTCAGCAAAATTGCTGACCTTCCGAGGGAGTCCAGCTCAGAAAACCAGGCTTGGCTTGTTGTTGAAAGAGCCTGGTGATCACGCGTGTTAGTTATAAATTCACTTTCTATTGATCCATCTCGACGGTTGCCCCAGGCAACCCGAAACCTTAGGACACAGGCTGTGATTTTAACCTAAAAGTTTTGGAAAGTCAAAGTCCACAGCTTTTCCCCCACTCAGTTACTTTCAAATCCCACAGCGGAGGATGCCTGCAGGATCTGGGATGACTTGAGAAGGGGCCTCTGGCTTTCTCTTGCCAAATCTGATCTGAATCCCAGATTCGGTTCTTGGTGTTAACCCTGATAATCAACATTGCAGAGAACAATCTGTTTACAGCGGACTTCTGCTTGCTAATCTGGACCTCTCTTATTATTATTATTATATTTTAAATCTCTGCATCTTTTTTAACAATATCTTGCTTTTCAGTCATGGAACTCAAGTCATAGATACCTTTTCCTGCATCTTCATGTATTATCTTCACATACACCCTCTGCTCAATGGGAAATAGCTTAGTTCTCTCACGTCCTACTCTAGCTGCTATTTTTTTTTTTTAATTTGATTTATATGCCCCCCTTCTCCGGAGACTCAGGGCGGCTTACAATGCGTTAAGCAATAGCCTTCATACTTTTGTATATTTATACAAAGTCAGCTTATTGCCCCCACAAACTGGGTCCTCATTTCACCTACCTTAGAAAGGATGGAAGGCTGAGTCAACCTTGAGCCTTGGAGAGATTCAAACCAGCAGTAAATTGCAGGCAGCTGTGTTAATAACAGGGTGCGTAGACCACTGTACTATCAAGGCTCTGTACTATTTAGAGTCTGAATTTACAAAATGACTCTCGAGAGACGTGTGGCCCAGGGGCAGGTTTCAAAACCCGTCGCTACCGTTTTGCTCGTGGGCACACGTCCACTTGTGTGTGCGCACAACACTTCTGCGCATGCCCAGAAGTGTCCAGATGGGTGGGCGGAGCCTCCCACCACCGCCGCTACCAGTTCGCCGGACCCAGGGCAAACTGATAGCAACCCACCACTGATTTGGCCCAAAGGAATAGAGAGAAGGCGATGGTTATACCAGTCTCGCTCTTTTGGTAGAGCAATATCATTGGGTGAACCACTCATAAATGATGTAGAACAAACAGTTGGAAGACCAACAGTTGACAGTCATGAGAAGAGGAATGGGTTGAAGAGTAGACAAGGGTAGTAAAAGAAGTGACCATTGCTTGGACCTCAAAGGTTGAACACTCCGTGAAAATGGTTGTGCTTTGACTTGGAGACCAGGAAGCGCCGAGAATCCATTGGTAGAGAGAGATCTATTGTATGAAAAACATCTATGTGGGAAAAATCTCAGGGAGGCTGACTTTATTTATATATAGGGTTTAGATCTCTGCCCATCTCGCAACAAGCCATAGACTTCAAGCAATGGAGGGGGGTCTTGACCTCCCTTCTGGCCAAATATAAATATGCTGAGAGATTTTGGATCCTGGGTCCTTGCCAGGTCATGGCTTGGAAAAGTCAGTGGGCAGAAATTTTAGGTTTCCTGCAATGAAAATTGTTCCAAAAAAGATGGAAGAGAGGAAGTCACGGGGCTACAGAAAGGAGGCCACCTCAGATGAAGGAGACCAAAGCATCTATTATGTAAGATCAACCAACTTCCTTGAGATTCCACCAATTATTGCCTCCCTGAGTTACAAAAGTCCAGCATTTCAGGAGGTTCTGAATTCTTGCCAACATGCATTGAAAATTAACACATTTCTTTTAATCGTTTGATTCGAGGATTTCACCTTTCTAACACTCTCCTGTTCTCTTGGCCAAATGTCCTCTTGTTGACAGATGGCCTCTGTTCAGTTTCAGATGAAACGAATTCTCTGGATTCTTCTTTGAATGCAAATTGAAGATGGAATATGCCTTAAATCAATAAATTTATTGACTGAAGTTCTTCGTGATGAAAGCTCTTATTGGGGAAAAGAATGCATTGAATTCTGACCAGATTTTGCTTATGGGCAAAATCCAGAATTTGACCCAGTCTCGTGAATGGTGGATGCCTTTCTGAGTAAACACGTGATTTCCATCTTGAGGTGACCAAGGAGATTTTGACACAGCCAAGCATCTGGGAGAGGGTTTGTGAAGAGTGCTGGAACTCTGGTCTGGGCCATTTCACAAACTCTGTGAAGGGTTGCCAAATTGGTTTCTTACCAAATAAAAATGCTTTTTCTAAACTTGCTCCATCAGAGCCTTTCCCCATTCTTCATCGCCAAAGCTACTGTCAACATGACTCCTTGGATATCCTTCCTCCTCAACCCAACCATCATTTTCTCCTTGGTTTTACTGCTGCTATTAGCAGGTCTATTTCTAAACAACCTCCACAGATCACCTCGTATGCCTCCGGGACCTATCCCGCTCCCTATCATTGGCAATTTGCATTTGATAAATATTAAAAGGCAAGATGTCTCATTTATGAAGGTAAGGAGCAAAGGGGTGGTTGGTAAGACCTTCTGTTGTCAGCAGGAATGACCTGGATGGTTATCTAAGACTTTGCAGGTTGAGAAGTAAAGTTATGGAGATGTAACAGTATAGTTAGACCTTGGTTTGATTTAAATCGTGGTTGGTTTACTTTGGTCTAAGTCCTATTTAAACCTTTGCTTTAAGTCATATTTTGGATTGATTTGAATCATATTTAAAAGCTCAGTTTCTGCTCCTAATATTCATATTGGCCTGGGGATAAATTAAATCTGTATGCGTGGGTACAGTTGTACTACAGCTGCTATGCTATAGACACATCACGCTTGCTTATGTAATCAGTTCTATTGATTACAATAGAAAATACTACTGCCAGAGTATGGTCCCACAGCATTTAGGAAGTCGTATCTCCCAAAATAACACTTTTTTAAAAATGTTTTTAATTGTTTTGTCATTGCTTTTAATTATGGGGCCAAATATATATCTATCTTTTAAATTGTATTTTAATGTTTGTAGTTTATGTTTTTACTTTGGCTGTACACCTCCCTGAGTCCTCAGGGAGAAGGACGGTATATAAATTTGATATAAAATAAAAAAATAAATAAAAAATAAAATACTCTTGCTTGCAGACGATGAAAAAGTTCCCAGCAGAGAAGGCACATTGTGGTCAAATAGGAACGTGTGTTCATACCTTAAACAAGGGAAGATTTTCATCCCTTTTATTGGATGAACGAAATGTTCTCAACGACAAGTGAATTTTTATTTTTTATTTCGTGCTGAGCATTTTTCCAAAACAATTTTTAAAAAACCCAAACAAACCCAACCCAGAAATAAGCTATTAGCAAAATTTAACAAGAACAGAATCGATGATTAACGTCAACAAGCAAGACCAAGCAATTTTTCAATATCATGAAAAACCTAGGCATATCATCTGGAATTTTTTGAGCCCTCCTATGCCAAGTCTAAAAACAGGCAGTTACAAGCTATACCTGCTTTTCAATCATCAATCAATCAATTAATCAATCAGTTTATTATTACAGTCATAGATCAGAGACCAGAACAAGTAAAAACACTCAGTGAATTTACAATTAAAATTTTTAGTATAAAACGATAAATAACAACTAAAATCTATGATAAAATTCAGCCTGTCAATTATACATGGTCTAACTAACTATACTAAAATTACAATCCATAAACTGTGTGGCCCGTAGTCAGTTTAATACTAAAAGGGAAAGGAATAAGGAGTGCAAAGGGTTTGTCACATTTGTTATGTAACATAATTGCTTTAAAATTTGCTTTGCATTTCAAGGAGTGTTAATCCCCACCAAATGCCGTGTGAATTGGTGCTCCTAGTATTGATGTCTCTCTGTAAACCCAACTTTAAAGCAGTTTCACAGGTTGTGTTATTGCTCTGACAGAAGAGTAACTATCTTCTTTAGAAATTCCCCTGGTTGTAGAAGGGGTGCGTGTATCAAAGAGCCTGGTGACGCAGTGGACTAAACTACTGCTGTTAAAGTAGCACTTAGCTGCCTGCAATTACTGCGAGTTCAAATCTCACCAGGCTCAAGGTAGACTCAGCCTTCCATCCTTTCGAGGTAGGTAAAATGAGGACCCGAATTGTGGGGGCAATAAACTGACTTTGTATAAAAAAGAACACCGCTGGGGGGGGGGCGAAATCCCTACTAAGCAGGTATATACAAAAGTATGAAGGCTATTGCTTAATGCATTGTAAGCTGCCCTGAGTCTCCGGAGAAGGGCGGCATATATAAATCGAACTAATAAATAAATAATAAATAAATAAATAAATAAATAAATCAATCAGGCAGTGTACTATGTTGCTTTCATTAGGAGGGTTGTATCGGGTGAAATGCTCCTGGTTCGGACCGGATCGCTCGATCTGGTAGCGATAGCAGCAGGTGGTTCGGAGAACCGGTAGCAAAAATCCGTCGTCCCCCCCCCCCCCATGCCCAGCTTAGCTGGGCAATCAAAGGCTTTTTTTAAAAAACTTTTAAAAAAGCCTCTGATGATCGCACGGCTCAGCTGGGATCGTCAGAGGCTTTTAAAAGCTTTTTTTTTTTTACAACTTCTTCGGCTGAAGAGGTTGTAAAACAAATGCTTTTAAAAGTTAAAAAAAAAAAGATTGCGCGCCACAGCTGATCACACCCCCCACCCATGCCTCCTTTTGGCATGCACTGCGCATTTGCGCAGCCAGCGAACCGGTAGTAAACCAGTTCAGATTTCACCACTGGGTTGTATGCCAAATAAATACACAAAACGGCCAGCTGGGCTTCCATGCATCCCGTAGATAGAACACAAGCAGAGAATTGGAGGTTTAAGCTCTCCCTTAAAAGAGCAGAGAGAGTGATGGGAAGATGTTTCCCCATCTGAAACTTTAGACAACACTGGCCAGGAGAGGCCAAAGTTTGATGTGATACCACACAGCTTTCTCTCAGTGGGACCTGGGTCCATCCATCTAACTTTCCACAACAGCTTCCAGGAAGATCATAAGAAGATCTGATGACCACAGACTTTGATTGTTCCCAATGCAATGCAATCAACTCAGAGGGGGGACATTTACCATGACATAGGAGAATGTTCTTCATCTATCCAGAGAGGTTCAGGAGGTGGGTCCTTCAGAAAGAGACTTCTTGGACGCTGGTGGTGGGGTCTTCACCCAAGGAAACTCAGTTGGCTTCTTCCTCGCCTTCGTTTAGACTACAAGGGCTGCTTTCTTTCACAGTAGATCTCGTAGAAGAGGAGCCAAACATCTGAAGGAGTTCGGTAACCTCTTTTCCAACTAACCAAATTTATCAGTCTTTGAATCTTATGACTTTTCATAAACATTTGTTAGGCTATTAGATTCCTCGCAGGTTTCCAACGCTCAGCCATGGTAGGTGATGGGTTTTGAATGTCTTCTCATCCACTTCCTCCTCCAGCTTTCCAAAACCTACGGCCCCGTCTTCACGTTCCACTTGGGTCTACAGAAGATTGTGGTGCTGGTTGGCTATGAGGCAGTAAAAGAGGCCCTCCTGAGCAAGGGAAATGAGTTTATCGACAGGCCTCCGATCCCCATATTCTTAAAGATCCAGCACGAGAACGGTAACCATACTTGGGAATAAATAAGATAGCTGATCTTTAGAGTCCAACCTTCCAAAGATGCAACTGAAGGAAAGTAGGGGAGGTGGCAGAATCAAAGTGCTTGTCCTTTACATGGTTTTTTTTTTAAATGTATATATTGTGCCTTTAAAAAAAAAATCCTTGGGAATCAGAGAGAACTTGGGAAACCATGCTTGAGGGACACTCCAATTATCGTGCAACTAAACACCCTTTACTTCTTGAAGATACGCAACATACATATTTGGTCTTAGCATCAAGGCAAGGGAGATAGGAGAAGCTGGTCAGCCAAGATGGCTCTTGAACAGGAGGAGTTGGGCTGGAGATCACCCTGCATTGACCATCTTTTAGTAGTCATTTCCCTTGAGGCAACCATTCTTGGTTCCATCATTGGTTGAAAGGTTTCTGCTGTTAGATAGGCTCTGATTTCTGGTCCACTTCATTCCCGTTTCTTCTCTGCTGCGTGGAGCTAGTAAGGAGGGAAATAAGGCTGACCAATTATAGGAGACCTTTGAGGGAATTCACTTCTATGAGATACGATCCTCCTTTTGATGGGATATGAATGAAGGGAGTATGTTCCTCAGGTCTGTTCTTCTCCATTGGAGAACTGTGGAAGAACACCCGTCGATTCACCTTGACCACGATGCGGGATCTCGGGATGGGCACCTCACTGATCGAAGGAAAGATCCTCGAAGAGCTCAGTTTCCTGGTTGAGAGGGTCAACTCCTTTAAAGGTGAGACACTTCTTCCGTTCTTCATCCTGGGTTCTTCTACATCCTTCGTCTGCTCTTTGAATCATCTTCTATTCTTCTTTCTTTTTTCAGGCGAGCCTTTTGCATTGAAGACCTTCGCCGAAGCTCCGACCAACATCACCTTCACCATCCTCTTTGGAGAAAGGTTTGACTACGCCGACCCAACTTTCACCACGCTCTTAAGAAACATCTCTGAAGTGATGAGTCTTCTGGGAGATCCGGCCTTACATGTAAGATGGCTTTTCCTTACTTTTCCTAACAAAGGCAAAAGGCATTCAGAGAGATCCCAAAGGGGCTTTTCTCAAGAGGCAACTGGACTTTCTGGGTTTTTTCTTTGAAGACATGTCGCTTCTCATCCAAGAAGCTTCTTCAGCTCTGACTGGATGGTGGGGAATGGAAGGATTTATACTCCTTGCGGACAGAACTGGTCATTTGCATCCTTTTTAGAGAGACGTTGAGGCTGCTTGGAGGTTTATCTGCAATAGTTGCAAGAAGTCTCCCCCACCCATTTGCTCTACTCAGGTGACGATCCAAATAGCCTCGATGGCTCTCTAAAAGAATGCAAATGACCAGCTGTCTGCCCATGTAGTTAATATTAAATGCAAAACAGTTCCAAAAAACAGATTTTATTTAATAGAATTAACTCATTCTCAGCTTATTCCAAATTAATTGAAAGCAAAGTCCTCAAAACACCATTCTTCAGTTTATCTCTGACCTTGGGATAATTAGGCAAACTGCCAAAGGCTTTTCTTGGCAACAGTTCAGGAACAGAAGACGCTGACGAGAAAGAAATACATCCAAACACGAAGCAAATCTCTCAACGGTTGTTTTCTGGCAAAGAGCCCAAGAGCCATTGCTGGTCTTTTAAGCCTTATGGGAGGGGCCAATCATCTCTTGGCCTTACTCCCGAGTCGTCCTCTTTGCTGTAGCTGCTCTTGCCTTCTGGCAGCTCTTCTCATGCGTGGGAGAAGTATATATGGGTAGTCCTCAATTTACGGCCTCAGTTGGAACCAGAACATCTGTCGTTAAGTGACGCAGTCTTTAAATGAGCCAAACCTGCTTCTTAAAAGCTTTTGGATGCAATTATTCAGTGAATCCGGCTTCCCTTATTGACTCTGCTTAAAAGGAAACAGCAGGGAAGGTCCCAAATGGGGACCACATGAGGATGGTGCAACCGTCAAACTACACACTGGTTACTAACTAGCACATGAATCAACACGTGGGGAGGCTGCAGTGGTTTTTAAGCACAAGGAACGGACTTAAGCCACGTTTTTTTCAACACGGGGAGGGCGATGTTACGATCATCAGAAAGAAATCAGAAAGCTTCACAAGAGACACAGGGTTTTATTGATTGGTTGAATTTATCTGCCACTCATCTCGCCCCACCAAGGTGTAAGGAGGCAGTGAAGGGGAACCTCAGCGTTTGCAAAATCTCCATTCCCACCCCACTCTGGGGCCAGCCAGAGGTGGTATTTGCTGGTTCTCCGAACTACTCAAAATTTCCGCTACCGGTTCTGCAGAACCTGTCAGAACCTGCTGGATTTCACCCCTGATCCAAACTCAACTTCCATATGACATATCAGGTTTCAAACCCTCCTGGTTCTGTTGGGCAAGGAAGCAAGGCTGGAAAAATTGGAGTCATCTTTTCCAGGCAGAGCAAGAAAAATGTTTTTACCCGGAGCTAAAACACGGGTGGAACCTCCCAGCTTCGACTCTCTACACGTGAGCAGAGCACGCTCTCCATTCCTGCCAGTCAGTCCCTTGGCCAAATTTGGTTTGCTCTGCGCATTCCTCCCAGGGAGATACAATCGCCCAGCCCGGCTGATGTTTTTAAATTAAACCCAAATGTGACAAAAAGGAACACACACACAGCCCGCCCGCTCTCTTTTTTATTATTCAATTGGAACTTTGGTTTGTGCCACAAGGCTCCAGAGGGGGAAAATGTGCCTCCAGGCCTCCTGAAATGCGAAGAGGAGGGCTGACTTCTCCTAAATTTGGAGAGCAGCTTCTTTTGCCAAGGTTGCTCCAAGCCATGACAAGATGGCAGGGACCACAAGGGGGGAATATCCAAACGTGCCTTTCTATCAATTGATCAATCAGTCACATCTGCAACACATCGCAAATTCCAACGGAGGAGAATATTTGTAGCTCAGGGTTGAAAGGAAAGGTCCTTGGTGCTCTCTGAGCTTGGTAGTTTTTGATGTGACCCTGACTCCCGAGCCTGTCCTAACAGAGGAAGAGGACTCAGAAGGTGATGGGGAGGAACTGACAAGGCCTCCCTCTCCAGGACCCTCCTCTCTGGCAATGCCTCAGGTTCCATCCGAAGGCCAGGAGGAACAGCCTGGGATGTGCCAGGAGGAAGGCATATCGGAGCACCAATTGATAGGGAGCGAGGATGATGAATCCTGGCTTGATCCCAGGCAGTGTCGGAGGGAGAAGCGTGCGCAGCAACGGAAGAGGCATGGGAGGGCCAGAAGTTGAGCTGAGTCACGGAGCCACGCCCCACCAGGAATAAAACTGGGTGGGATTGCTCTTCGGGCTTTGTGACGGACAAAGTTAAGCCCTGAAAGTCACATCGTGATCTCTGAAATTCGGCTTGGATATATTTTGGACTGAACAGTGACTAAACTCTTGTCTCGTGGATAATTTGTTGCTCCTGGAACGGACTGAAGATAAGTCCTCTTCTGCTTTATGGGAGTGGAAACGGTCTTGGCAGGCATTCGGCAGTTTGCTGCCAAAACCTTGGTCTGCCAGGAATTCTAATCTGTTTACCTAATAAAATATTGGCAGGCATGCTTGGTATTACGTTTGCCTGTGTGAGGAAGGGGGACAGAACAGTTTTCTTGCAGACTTTTCATCACCAAACTAGATAACATCATCAATGCTAGAAGGGAGTGGGGGTTGCACTGATGATCTAACCTAGTTTGAGTAATGAAACGCCTGCAAGGAAACCACCAAGCTCAGAGAGCACCGAGGAACCTTCCCTTTGCAAAAGTCTGCTTCTTGCTTCAGAACGAAACGCTTGTGGATAGAGAGATGCGCAGAGGAGCAACCCAAATAAGAGGCTTGGAAAAGCTGCCTGGAAGGAAAGGAGAAAATTTCAGGGCTTTGGAAACTGAGGAAACAGGGACCCCCCCCTCCCTCCCCCTTCAGGGCCTCTAGATGTGTTGGCATGGAGTCACCAGTTCCCATCCAGAAAGCAGAAAGAGAATGGCAGGAGCCAAAATGTCATTTGGACCGGAGGTTGCGAAATGCAATTCTGGACTTGGAATGATGCATTCCGGTTATAATTTTTTCCCTTCATTCTCTTGATGGAATCCAGCATCTGCTTTGCAGAAGAAAAGGACCAGCCCTTCCAAGCTCTCCCATTTTCCTCCTGGTTTACTTGGATGCAGGTTCGGCCCCATCAATTTTCAACCCCATTAATAATTTCTGGAATGTCCAGAATAATTCTTTTTTTAAATGCTAAAGATCAGGGATAAATCTGTTGCACTCCCAATGTTTGACTCCGACTCCTTTGTGCTCTACCAGATTTCTAAAAGAGCCATTATAAAATTCTGCTGATTTTTTTTTTAATTGCTCCCTTTTCAAAGGAAATTTCATTGCTGTCTTTTTGTTGTTTTCCCCCTCCATAAAGTGTTTTTTTCTTTTTCAGATTTACATTTACGGATTCTGTCTAGATTAGAAAAAGCCGGTAGCTCCTCCTAAAAGCAAAGAATTATTTGCTGATTTTTTAAAAAAAACAGATAAGGAGAATAGCTGCTCTTCCTACCTTCAAAATGTTGAATTAAAATGTGGGCCTTTCCATAGGAAAGGATTTCCATAGTTAAAACTCTGAAGCTCCCCAGCTTCTGCACAAATCTAAAAACGAAGACCCTAAAAATATTGACTAAAAGAAATTTAGGCACCCCCTAAATAAACAGAAAAAGGGATGCAGTGGCTCAGTGGCTAAGACGCTGAGCTTGTCGATCGAAATGTCGGCAGTTCAGCGGTTCGAATCCCTAGTGCCGCGTAACGGGGTGAGCTCCCGTGACTTGTCCCAGCTTCTGCCAACCTAGCAGTTCGAAAGCAGGTAAAAAATGCAAGTAGAAAAATAGGGGCCACCTTTGGTGGGAAGGTAACAGCGTTCCGTGCGCCTTTGGCGTTGAGTCATGCCGGCCACATGACCACGGAGACGTCTTCGGACAGCGCTGGCTCTTTGGCTTTGAAACGGAGATGAACACCGCCCCCTAGAGTCGGGAACGACACATATGTGCAAGGGGAACCTTTACCTTTACCTTTTAAATGAACAGACATCATCACTGTAACATCGTCGTTCCCATCTATGGGTTTTTGTCTTGATTTATTTGCTCTTTTCCAGCTGTATAACGTCTATCCGTTCCTTGGATTCCTTCTCAAACCCCATAAGATGATCTTGAAAAGGATTGAAGAAACCTGCGCCATCATCGAAAAATACATGCGAGACAGCAAGGAGACGCTCAGCAGGAACCAGCTGCAAAACTACATCGACTCCATGCTCTTTAAACAGCAACAAGAGGTTGGCATTTTTGTTTCCTCCGTTAGGAGGTCACAGAAAACTTAATCGCATCCTAAAATAATTTTCCATGAGGTGTATAGGATTACAATTCTTCTTTCTCTTTCTTCTTTCCCCCTCTCTCTTTCTCTCCCTCTTTCTTTCTCTCTCTTTCTTTTTCTTTCTTTCCCTCTCTCTCCTCTCTCTCCCCTCTCTTTCTTTCTTTCTCTCTTTTTTCTTTCTTTCTCTCTCTTTTTATTTTTTTCTCTCTTTTTCTCTCTCTTTCTCTCCTTTCTCTTTTTCTTTCTCTCTATGTTTTTCTCTTTCTCCTTTCTTTCTGTCTTTCTCTTTATTTCTTTCTTTCTCTCTTTATTTCTTTCTCTCTCTCTCTTTATGTCTTTCTTTCTCCTTTTTTTCTCTTTCTCTCTTTTTCTTTCTCTCTTCCTCTCTCTCTCTCTCTCTCTCTTTCACACACACACCCAGTCTGCCTTCCCAGTCCACCTTCTTTTCTTTGATCAAACCAATTTTTGCCTCTTGTGTTTAAGGGAGAGAATGGCAAGAAGAACTCATTTCACAACCCCAATATCGTGGCCTCGGTTCTTGACCTTGTCATGGCTGGGACGGAGACCACGGCCACCACTCTGCAGTGGGCCGCCCTGATGATGATGAAGTACCCTGAGATTCAGAGTAAGCTAGAATTCTCTTTTGCTAAGACACCTTGTTTGGGCTGAGTTAGGGGGAGGCTGATCCCCGCAAGTCGCAAGTCACCTAGGAGAGGCTGCTGAGACAGGTTTATCCCTCCCACTGTCAGTGGCACCCAGGAGAAAATTGCAAATCCGAGTAGCTCAAAACCAGTCAATGGCCACAGAGTCTCTGACCTGGAACAGGAGAAGCAGAGATAGCAGCCGAGTTCCTCCAACGTTTAGAAGGTGGTTATTATGGGCTTGTGGCAGTTGTCCTTGGAGGCCAGCAGACAGAAAGCTTTGGAGCCCATCCCAACTTGCTAAGAGGGTTGGAGAGCAGCTGATCTCCTCAAGCTTTCTGTAGTTGAAGAACAAGTCAAGGAACACACCTGCCTCCCCGGGGTTGATGAAGGAAAGGGGCTTTAGCTTCCTGGCCCTGACTTTCGGACCACTCCTCCTGCAGGGAAGGTCCAACAGGAAATCCAGCGAGTGGTTGGATCAGAACGTTTGCCGGTCTATGAAGACAGGAAACAGATGCCCTACACCAACGCCATGATTCACGAGGTCCAGCGGTTTAGTTCTATCGTGCAACATTTCCCACGCTGCACCGCCGTGGACACCCACTTCCGAGGTTACTTTATTCCAAAGGTATGACCTAGGAGGTGGTGCTCAGAGTCCCAAGTGGCAGGAGAGACGTTGGGGCCGAGGAAGCTTTGTGGAGAATGGGGATGTCCGTGAAAGGTCCATGTTATGTTGACTTAGACCAGTGTTTCTCAACCTTGGTAGCTTGAAGATGGGTGGACTTCAACTCCCAGAATCCCCCAGCCAGCAGCGCTGGCTGGGGGATTCTGGGAGTTGAAGTCCACCCATCTTCAAGCTACCAAGGTTGAGAAACAATGACTTAGACCATCCAGGTTCAGGATTCCTGCCACGAGGTCTACCTTGAACCTTCTCCTTCTTCCCTGAAAATGTGGAAGCTGGAACTCATTCCTTCACAAACTGATTTCTCAATTTGCTTCCCCTCCAGGGAACACCAGTGTTTCCTTCTCTGACATCCGTGCTTTATGACGAAACCCAGTGGGAGACTCCCTACAGGTTCAACCCCAACCATTTTCTGGATGCTGAAGGGAAGTTTCTGAAGAAAGATGCCTTCTTGCCTTTCTCAATAGGTGGGTGAAGAACAAGGGTGAAATGCTACTTTTTAAAGCATATTTTTTTACTACCGGTTCGGGCGAACCTCCCCGAACTGGTAGTAAAAAAAATGCTTTAATTTTTTTTTTAAAAAAAGGTTCCAAGGATCAGCTGTGACAATCAGCTGTGCCACCTGATTGTGGGAATTTTTTTTTTTTTTTAACTTTTTAAAGCATTTTTTTTACTACCTATTGCCCGAACCGGTATTTTTGTGTAAAGTGTGATAGTTCGTTTCTGAGCTCTCTGTGACTCTGTGAGGTTCCTGCTTGTTGCAGGGGCCATTTTGTGTGAAGTCCAGCTGCTTTTGCATTGTGTGTGAGTCAGTTGTGTAGCTTTTGTGTTATTTCTGTATAAAGTGTGATAGTTGGTTTTTCCTCGTCACATGACCACCAAGCCACGCCCACAGAATCAGTAGGGAAAATTTTTGAATTTCACCACTGGTGAAGAAGTCCTCTGTGTGAGGAGGGTCCGGGGGTCCAAGAAAGAGAGGAGGTTTGCTGGGAGGTCAGTCTACAGCAGGGGTGTCCAACCTGGGCAACTTTAAGACTTGCGGATTTCAACTCCCAGACTTCCCTAGCAAGAACCCTGAGAGTTGAAAGTCCACAAACCTTAAAGTTGTTAAGGTTAGACAGTCCAGTCTACAGCTTGTCTTTTTGTGGAGGAACCAAGAGATGCTTTATGACAGAGGTCTTCAAACTTGGCAGCTTTAAGACTTGTGGACTTCAAGTCCCAGAATTCTAGGAGTTGAAGTCCACAAGTCTTAAAGCTGCCAAGTTTGAAGACCTCTGCTTTATGAGATGAAAACTATCTCTAGAAGATGAAGAGGCCCTTAATCATCAGGGGAGATAGTTTGAAGGCCACAAATTGCTCTGGTTGGAGCACCTGGATGCTGGGCAGCACCATGGATGTCTAACTGCTCCATCAGGATCTGGAACCAAAGTTGGTTGTCCAAAGCTTTACCCTTCCTCGGACCTTTGATCTCCTGGTATGCGTTACCCGTTGGGGACAATGAGTAAGAAGATGGAGGCTCTTTCTTGTTTTCTGTGAACCTCAAGAGCTCTCTAGACTATGAGGGAGTCTCACCCTGGACCTCTGCTTCTCCAGAACTTTGCAACAACCCTCAAGTGAATCAGAGCCTTAGGAAGGTTTCAAGTTCAGGAAGACCATCCCTCTGTGCTCCAGGACGTTTTAAGGAGATGTGCCATGAAGACAATATTACAAACTTTTCTGTCTTTTCTTCATGGAGATTCTCCATCATCCTGGTCACAGTTGTCCCAAAGGTGCTTTTTCAGGAGGCAACTGGACTTTCTTGTTTTTTTTCTTTTGAAGACGTTTCACTTCTCATCCAAAAAGCTTCTTCACCTCTGACTGGATGGTGGGGAAACGGAAGGATTTATATTCCTTGCAGACAGCTGGTCGTTTGCCTTCCTTTTAGAGAGTCCTTGAGGCCACTTGGAAGTTTGTCTGTGTCCTTTTCTGTCTTTTTTTTTTTAAAAAATGACCTTGGGGTACTTGTTGCAGGTCGCAGGAACTGCCTGGGAGAAAACCTGGCCAGGATGGAGCTCTTCATCTTTGCAGTTGGATTGTTGCAAAGGTTCACATTTCAAGCCCCACCTGGAATGCGTGAAGAAGACCTGCAGCTCACGACCGAGCCTGCCTTCACTCGGAGGCCACATTCCTACTCTACCTGTGCTGTGCCCACCAACTAGCTCTGGGTTTCTCCACCGTGGCCACTTGAAGAGGCGTGGACTTCAACTCCCAGAATTCCCCAGCCGCTCTCCTGTCTCTTGATTTAATCCTGTATTCTACTCTTTACCAACTACGGTAGTAATCTTACAGCAGCGTTTCTTAACCTCTGACACTTTAACAGGTGTGGACTTCAACTCCCAGCATTGCAAGTTGGGATGTGCTCCAAAACACAGCTGGCTGGGGAATTCTGGGAGTTGAAGTCCACACCTTTTAAAGTGTCCGAGGTTAAGAAGCATGGATCTAACACTGATTTAGAAGCTCTTCTGTGCAAGTCTGTTATAGCATCTAAGGCCATTGACAAATACAGTTCTGTTATGCTTTGCAAAATACTTGGGACTGCAGTTTATTTCCAAACTGAAATTAAATTTAGAGAGGGTGCTAAATTAATGCTACTGCCATTGAAGTGTATTGCAAATGAGTGGAGCTGTTTGTATTACCATCCATTTCTTGACAAACAGAAATTATTATTTGCGTATTTGGGGAATGAAATCTGTGCCATGGGTTCTGGAAAGGGTTTTGGGTTTTACAAATAAGAACAGCCCATTAAGAACATGGGAAAATAACGTGCATGATCAAAATAGTGGAAGACCCAAAATCTTGTATGTGAAAAGTGTTAACTAAACCCATATTTTAGTTGCTTAAAGTCCTGCAGCTGTGCTGGACTACACTTCTCATCATCTTTAGCAACCGACGATGGGAGATACCGCACAATATACGTTGAAACATTGGTACATCGTGTTTATTTTGTGGCTTCCGTTCTACTCCCTTTTCTCACCCACTACATCTCTTTAAACTTCGGGCCTTTTGGGAAAACTTTTGAGATGTTCTAATCTAATATTTAGATTCCCCCCCCCCCCCTCCGCATATTGATGTGGTGCTATCAGTTCCTCTCTTTCACCCTGCTGCCATCTAGTGGTACAGGAGGGTTATGACTGTCCCTTGCTCAGTTCTTAATTTCTGCTGCCCCCTTCTGGTCTCTTCATGGAACTTGTGTTTCCATAACCAGGGTGGAGTTTAGGAAAAGACAGGAGGAGATTTGATCGATTCTGCAGAATTAATGCAGAATTAGTGTCTGAATATTTTGCTGGCTCGAAGAGGGCTCAAAAGCAGCATCTCCACAGGCAGCTCCTGAACCACAGATTGTGGGTTCTTCTGCTTGGACACGCAATTTGAGTCACTGGGAGTCGCTTAAGACCCTCAGTCTTGGTTGTGCGGTCCTGATATGAGGCTCGAGCCATGGTCGATCTTGAACTGGGTCAGCATCCAATTCTAAACTGAACTTCGGGTGGTGGGAGAACTGTGGGGTCCTTGGTGCTCTCTGAGCTTGGTTGTTTTCTTACAACCTTTCATGACCCAAACTAGGGAACATCATCAATGCTAGAAGGGAATGGGGTTTGCAGGGAGGAGGAGGAGGAGGAGGAGGAGGAGGAGGAGGAGGAGGAAATGACAACGATTTGAGAATGGCAGCATGATCTGAAAGCCAGTTATGACTTCTCAAGAACTTTGGAAGCCACCTATCTGAGCCACGGGACTCCATACATGCAGGCGCATCTACAATAGAAATGTTGGCCTGATTGTCAGTCTATGAACTAGATTGAGGTGTCTCCACAAGGACAACTTCAAGAAGCAGGATAGGAAGGCAGCTGATGCTTTTGAACCTCAGTGTTGGAGAAGACTCGCGAGAAGATGATGGTTGCCCAAGAAAACAAACCAACGGACCATCAGAACAAATCAACCGGGGAGTTCACACTTGAGGCCTAGATGATCATATTGTGGGCCATTCTCCAAAGCCCTAGTTCTCTTGAGAAGTTCATAATACTGGGGAAAGTGGAAGGGGAAGAGAAGATGGGGACAACCAGCAGCAAAATGGATGGGCTCAATTGCAGTAGTGATGGATGCACCATGGGGAGACTTGAAGTACCTGGTAGAGAACGGAGATCCTTCAGAGAAGATCCAACTCAGTGGTTACTAAGAGTTGATACCTACTTGATGGCACAAAATCAATCCAGGCAAGAAATATTACAGGGAAGGGGAGGTGCTGATGTCCCTGGACAGACTCTGGGGGTCAGTATTGCCTCATTCAATGGAGCTGATCTGACAAGCTCAGGGTGAAGGTACCTTTCCCTTACTAAGCTCGGCCTCCAAAGAAAACAGAAGTTGCCACACCTGTGGGGTGTGGGAAAGGCAAATGGGCTTGTCTCTGTGATAATCAGACCCTCGCTTCCCATCCAGCTTTGCAAACTTTTTGTAAACCTGTTGTCAGAAAGGGAGGGAGAGTCGAAGGAAAAGTTGGAAATTCCTCCTTATTTCCAGGTTGAATCGCTCCTTGATCAGTTTCCATCCATTATTCCTTGTCTGGCCTTCAGGTGCTTTGGAAAATAGCTTGACCCCCTTCCTCCTCTCTGGGGCAGCCCCTCAAATATTGGAATATGCTATCATGTCTCCCCTGGTCCTTCTTGTCACTAGACTAGCCATGCCCAGTTCCTGCAACCGTTCTTCAGGTTATGCTAGAACAACAGGGTGGGTAACATTTCTCCATCGGGGTTTAATGGTCATCAACTTACGGCCAACAAGTTGGTGGCTAATTTTAGAAAAAGGCAGCATAGAAACCACCGTATTTCCTGCTTTGTGTTTCTGTAAGACAGTATCTGCAGTGACTGTATGGAACCGAATCCACTTTGATGTTTGACTAACTCAGGAGGGACCTACACAGTCGGCAATATCATTACTATTACTTGGGAAACGGCAGTGACAAATTTCTTTGTGGCTGTTGGCAACCAAACTCCCTTTTCAAGAACAGCCTGGTTAATGATAAACCACCTTCCGAGATCTGTAAGGCTCTTGGCTTCAACAGACCAACCCAACGTCTCCCAGATGTTTTCATTTAAGCAAGAAGGTTGACCCCTTCCTGCAAGGTTTGAGAAGGTTGACTCGGCCTCCCGAGGTCGGTAAAACGAGAACCCAGATTGTTGGGGGCAATATACCGACTTTGTAGACCACTTAGAGAGGGCTGTAAAAGCACTGTGAAGCGCTATATAAGTCTAAGCCCTATTGCTCTTGGAGGTCGGTATTTGTAATAAGTGGACCTCTGAAGATAGGAGATGACTGAGGAAGGTCAGTGATAGCTATCTCACCCACCTTGTGAGCATCTATGTACTTTAGAGCAGGGGTCTCCAACCTTGAAAACTTTACGACTTGTGGACTTCAACCTCCCAGAATTCCTCAGCCAGCGCATGCCGTTTTGTGTCTTCAAGTCCGTCTTGATTCTTGGCATCATATTTGGAAGTGGCTGGGCCTTGTCTCCTTCTTGCTAGGGCTAGCCTCACAATCAGGAGGTTGTGAGTTCGATCCTAGGTAGAGGCAGATGTAGGGTCTTCTACTTGGGCAGGGGGTTGGACTCGATGACCTGCAAGGTCCCTTCCAACTCTGTTAATCTGTTAAAAAGAGGGAGGGACCGGCCCAAAGTCACCCAGGTGCCTTCCCCACTTAAGGCAGGATTACAAGTCCTGGTCGCCCAGTCTCTGTCCGGGGCTGATAACAGTGGTGGGTTGCTACGGGTTCACCCCGGATTGGGCGAACTGGTAGCATTGGCGGTGGGAGGCTCTGTGCACCCACCCGGATGCTTCTGAGCATGTGCAGAAGCGTTGTGCGTGAGCACGAGCGCCCACAGGCGAACTGGTAGCAACGGGTTTTGAAACCTGCCCCTGGCTGATAAGCATCACACCAAACTGGTTCCCCAACCAACAGATATACTCACAACTATAATGAGCTGGAAGGATTTGAATTCAACAGCACGGTGAAAAATTACTCTTCTCAACTCTGGCCAAATAATGTTCAGCATTAGGAAAGCAGAGCATTATATACAGGCATTCCTCGACGTACGACCGCAATTGAGCCCAGCGTTTCTGCTGCCGAGGGAAAAGAGTTGTTAAGTGAATTTTGCCCTGTTTTATGACCTTTCTTGCCACAGCTGTTAAGTGAATCGCTGCAGTTGTTCAGTTTGTAACCTGGTTGTTAAGTGAACCTGGCTTCCCCACTGATTTTGCTTGCGAGGAGGTCGCAAAAGGGGATCCCGTGACCCCGAGACACGGCAACCGTCATAAATATGAGTCAGTTGCCAAGTGTCCAAAGTTTGATCACGTGAGCCAGTGGTGGGTTTCAAAAAATTTTACTACCGGTTCTGTGGGTGTGGCTTGGTGGGTGTGGCGTGGCTTGGTGGGTGTGGCTTGGTGGGCGTGGCAGGAGAAAGATACTGTAAAATCTCCATTCCCTCCCCACACTCCAAGGGAAGGATACTGTAAAATCCCCATTTCCTCCCGATCAGCTGGGACTTGGGAGGCAGAGAATAGATGGGGGCAGGGCCAGTCAGAATTTTTCTCCGAACTACTCAAAATTTCCGCTACCGGTTCTCCAGTTCTGGTCAGAACCTGCTGAAACCCACCTCTGACGTGACGTTGAGGATGTTGCAGTGGTCATAAGTGTGAAAAATGGTCATAAGTCACTTTTTTCAGTGCCGTGGTGAGTTCAGTCACTGAGCTGTTGTACATCTAGGTAGGACTATCTGCATTGTTTGGCTGGATGTCCCCTTTCAACATTCATACAACCGTGTAAACTATTGTTTATGACATTTTATTAACGAACAGTTGTATGGGTAAAGAATTAAACCCCTTTAGAGTCCAGGAAAAGAACAATCTCAGCCTTTTGTGTGTTTATTTATCGTTGGTGCAGGAGATTAAACTCCTTTCGGCTGGGCACAGGTGGTGTTGAAGGTCTTGTGAAGGTAACCGAAGCCGCCTTTGATGCAAAGACTGCCGGGCTGTAAACAAACCACAATTGTGTTCCTATTTATTTATCAGTCAGTGGAGTTGTGTCGGCTGGCCACCAGGAGCAAAGCTGGGCCCTTCATCAAATAAACAGCACCCTTCTGCTCGAGCAAAAAGGATCTGCAAGATCTCTACAAGGACCTGCTCCTACCAGGCTGACCACTTGATCTTGCCGCATTTTGCAGAATTTGCTCCTAGGATTTAATACCGTTCCAACACTGGAATTACAGGTTCTCTCTTAGCTCTTACCTTCTACATTTGCGCTCCCAGAATTTCCCCCTGACCTGAATTTAAGTCCAGTGTCCACTTGAGAAGTTTGACCTCCAAGACATCCGTGGGCTGTCAGACTCCTGAATGAGCAATAACATTGTAACTATGTAGTATGATGGACTGCAGGGCCGGCGCAATGTGTAACATGTTCACACTGGTGCAGTAGGACTGGGTATTTTGTTAATATGAATTATTGGGTATGGGATTTTCTGTCTTCACTGTGAGTTGTATTGTGTTGGAGGTGTGCACTGAGGGAGCTCAACCCATCTCATTGTACATACGTTGTGCATTGACAAAGATTTGGATTTGAATTGAACTTCATGATCTGTCCCCAAGTCCTACTGGTCTTTCAAGAACTGACCCATCACCACCACAATCAAGTCCATTCATTTGGCTTCTGCTCATCCTCTCGTTCTCCTTCCTTCAACCTTTCCCACAGCTTTCTCCAAAGAGATGGGTTGATTGACTATATGCCATTGAGTCATTGTTGACTCTTAGTGAGAAGATAATGGCCTTCCGAAAAGCGATGAAGACCTGGTTTTTCCAGCAGGCCTGGGGCTGTTGATCTTGCTCTCGTGATCTGGCGAGATCCGGCCATGAATGGCGTGAGTGAGTTTTTAATGTTTTTAATTTTTTAATGTTTTTTTTATAATTATTTTTTAAAATGTATTGTGAGCCGCCCTGAGTCTTCGGAGAGGGGCGGCATATAAATTAAATTAATTAAATTAAATTAAATTAAATTAAATTAAATTAAATTAAGATACATAGGGGATTTTTTTCCCCCAGGATGATCCGTCTCCAACCTGGCCCTACAGGTCTTTCAAGAACGGACCCAACACCACCTCAACCAAGTTCAACCACCTGGCTGATGGTCATCCTCTTCTCCTTCCTTCCACTATTAAGGACTTCTCCAGAGAGAAGTTCACATCATGTATCCAAAGTCAGATCATTTGATCCTGGTCATTTGTCATTTCTTTTGAGTTGATGTGCGATTTGTTTTCTCGGTTCTCCATCCTATTCCCAGGAGTCTTCTCCATCACCCACGTCCCAAAACATCCATGCTCTTCGTCTCCTGCTTCTTCCAATTCCAATATCTAAGAATACCATTTACTACCATTTACTTCACCCTCTTGAAGAGCCAGCCTCCCCCTCCCCTGGAGTAAGAGGCTAAAAACCCGCAGCAGGAACAAGTGCCTTTGTGCGAGTGTGTGTTTGTGTGTGTAAGAGAGAGAGAGAGATTAGGTCTACTTTCAAAATTAAGCACGGGGTGGATCTGGGTGTTTTGTCACCCACTTGAAAGGAATCTAGTAAGCAAACAAAGTAAGGAGTTTCTAATGCAGAGCTAGGAGGGGATTATCACACCGCCGAGCAAACACGGTGTAAGGTGCAGTTCTACTGGCTGGAATGTTTTTCCATGTTCTTTTTTTTTTGTTTTTCCCCTCTTGCGGCTTTCGCCAAGGCCCCTTGGACTCTGAAGCAGGAAAAAAAAGTTGTGTTGGTTAATGAGCCAAGGAAACAAGTGAGGCACCGGCACAAAGGGTACATTTTAGTGAATTCCCACTGAATCGCTGGCCTTTGGCCAAGACCTCCACCCCATCGGAGCCGAGAGCAGAATTGGAGAAAAGGGGGAAAGCTGAAACCAGACGGGCCCAGGGATTCTCTCACTTTGCACCTGTGGCTCTGACCCTTTAACAGAATAACAGAGTTGGAAGGGACCCTGTAGGTCATCTAGTCCAGCCCCCCACCCAAGCAGGAGACCCTACACCATTTCTGACAGATGGCAGTCCAGTCTCTTCTTGAAAGCCTCCAGTGATGAAGCTCCCGCAACTTCCGAAGGCAACTTCTGTTCCATTGGTTGATTGTTCTCACTGTCAGAAAATTCCTCATTTCCAGGTTGAATCTCTCCTTGTTCAGTTTCCATGCATTGTTCCTTGTCTGGCCCTCAGGTGCTTTGGAGAATAGCTTGACCCCCTTCCTCCTCTCTGTGGCAGCCCCTCAAATATTGGAAGATGCTCTCATGTCTCCCCTGGTCCTTCTCTTCCAGGCCTAGTTCCTGCAACCATTCATCTTATGTTTTCACCTCCAGCCCCCTAATCATCTTTCAGGAAGACCCAAAGCCCCTTTGAGCTGCTCGTCTGCCTCCCCAGGCCTCGCCAAGGCGGACTGGAGACCTACACCTCACTGGAGACCTAGAGCTCACCCGGTTATGCGGCACTAGGGATTCGAACCGCTGAACTGCCGACCTTCTGATTGACAAGCTCAGCGTCTTACCACTGAGCCAGCCACCGCATCCCTTTTTTCTTCAATTTAGGTGGCTGCAAATTCCTTTTTTTTTTTTTTTTAATGGGGAAGCCCAGATCTGTGATTCCAGAAAATAAAGAGTTCCTTTTTGGTGGCTACCCAGGATAATTTTAAAAACTTGAGGTTCCCCCACATTATTTTAAGATTTTTTTCAAACGATTTCTAACTCAGGGATGGATCTGGGATTGCTTTATTTGTCGCCCGTCTGGTATCCAAAGGACTCCGGGCGGCTCACAACAGAAAAATCGTTCCTCGGCGACTGCTCCGTCTTGGCTTGCCGGCAGCTGTGTAGGCGGACTTCTTTGGGGAGGGGGTCGAATTAAAGGAGACGAAGACCCGCGTCGCGGCCTTTGTTTGCTTCTCTCGCCCACCGGGCAAGGAGGGAACCCCGCGGGACAGCTGGATCCCACCGCCTTGGACCCTAACCCTAACCCTGGACCCCGGAGGGCTCAGCGGTTTGCGAAAGGCCAGTCCCGCAACGTCTCGCGACGCCCCCCTCCCCGGGCTGGGGATTGCGACCCTCCCCTGCCGGCCAAGTCCCGGCTCCCTCCTGCCCCACCTCCGGCCCCCGAAGCGCTGCCAACCGCGCGCGTCCACCAAGCCTGGAGCATTAAACCGCCAACCCCCCTCCCTTCCTTCCGAGCAAGCCTCCGTGCGCCTTATGTGCGCTTTCACACATGACGTGCGCAAGGGAGGGACTCGCCACTGGCTCATCCTCTCTCGCCATTGGGTGGCTGTCCTTTTGTTAAGAGCCGAGCCTCCCCGCCATTGGATCGCGGGCAAAGTCAATTATTTCTCCCCCCCCCCAAAAAAAAAACGGGGGGGGGGGAGCGCGAAGAAAGCAGCAAGAGGCGGAGGGCTCTTCCTTTCCCCCCCCCAAACCTTTCCTCCGGGAGCGCGTGAAGCCCTTTCCCCCCTCCCCGCTTTCCGGATTTCTCGCCTACCCACCCACCCAATTGCAAAAGCTCGGGCTCTGCAGCGCAAGAGCCTCGCTGGGTTTAGTTGGGGGTGGGGGGCGGCAAGGGGAAAGAGGAGGGGTCCTGCTGCCAGCCTATTTTTGGCCTGCCCTGTGATTTCCAAAGCATCTCATCCAACGGGGGGGGGAGGGGGGCGCGAAAGAAGGAGGGGGCTGAGAAATCAAGGCGTTTCCCTTGCGCTGGACGCCGCCGCCGCCCCCTCCCGGCGCCTTCCCGGCCCCTTCCCCGCGTGGAGGGGCGGCCTGCGGCTTGGAAGAGGCGGCCGGGGCGCTGAGCGGGAGCCTCGCCGAGCCGGGGCCGGGATCCGGAGCTGTTCCGTCCGGGGCGGCGCTGCTGAGCTGGTCCGGATCGCGTCGCGGGCTTTTGGGGCTGGCGGAGAGGAGCCGCATCCCGCGGGGGATCCTGGTGGCCGCTTTCCTCGGCCGCGCCGCCCCGCCCGCCTGATTTGGGCTTGAGCCCTGGATTGGCTTCCTCCGGCTGGGGCAGCCGCAGCATGGATGGCCCGCGGCCCTTGGCCGGGCTGGAGCCGCAGCTGTCTGCCCAGAGCAGCCGGGCAGCCCCGGCCGGCCGGCTCGGCGTGGGAGCCTCGGGCTGGCGCGTGGATTGAGCGGCCTCGCGTGGGAGCCTCCGCTTCCTCCCGCTGGGCCCACCTGCCCTGGCAGCTGGAGGCTCGCCCTCCTCCGGCTCATCCCTCCCGGCTGGAGCCACGGACCGGGAGCAGCTGCGAGACCCCGACCCGTGGACCAGCTCGCCCGCCGCGCCCCGCTTTGGCTGCTGGGGACCCCCTTGACCCGTGGGATGCGGCCCGGTGGGGGCGTCTGGAGGGCTGCGCATCGCTGGCAGAGAGAGGCCCGCGGCGGAGGCCAGGCGTAGCGGGCGGACTGCTCGCCTTTCCCGCGACCTTCTCGGACAGCCGTGCGCGGGGCTGGAGATCCGCGCGAGCCGGGCCTTGCCTGCCCTCCTTTGGCTGAACGGCTGCCGTGGGGAGCAGCAGCGCTTGGAAGGGCCACTTTTCTGGGTCTCCCCCCACCCCCCCCCCCCACACACACCATGGCTGCGAAAGAAAATCCCTGCCGGAAATTCCAGGCGAACATTTTTAATAAAAGCAAGTGTCAGAATTGCTTCAAGCCTCGGGAGTCGCACCTGCTGAACGACGAGGATTTGAACCAGGTAAGGCCTCCTTGGGCCGAGGGGGAAGGGAGGGACGGAGGGGGCTGGTCCCGGCTCTTGCAGGGCTCCAACCTCCGGGAGAAGCGAGCAAGGAGGCCCGGCCGGTGGGGCGGGGGGAGAAGTTGATGGCCAGAATCAAAGCGACTTTGCAAATCCCAGATTGGGGTTGGGGGGGGGGGGGGAAGAAAAAGCCCCCCGTTTGGTTGTTGCAGGGGGGGGGGGTGTGTGGGAGAAACACGGGCCGCGGATCCCCTCCCCCACCCCCGAAAGCTTTGCTCCGTCGCCCCGCTTCCTTCCTGAGCCACGAAAAAAAGCTACTTTTGGTTTACTTTTCCTTCGGTTTGTTTTCACCTCCCTTGTTACTTTCTATCCTTTCTCCTCCTTCCTAATCCACACACACTCACACACACGGGAAACCTCGGGACAAAAGCCGCCCGCAGGCCCAGACCTGGTTTGGGAACTCAACCTGCCAGCGAGACGGGCTGTTTTCTCTCTCTCGCCCTCCCTTTCCCCTTGAGGGATAGAATCTTGAAGCGCCCAAGGCCTCGCATTTCAAAGCCTTGGATCCGCCAGATGAAGGAAAGGCAGCGCCAGGCGCCTTCTTGCAAAGGATTAATGCGGCTTCCAGCCCCCTCCCTCCCCCCCTTCCTCCCTCCCCCCTCCCGGTTAGATAACTTGGCTGTAAACTGGGGGGTTTGCGCTCCTTCGCACCCCCCGCCCCGCCCCAGTGCCTTGCGCGGCTGTTGATAAACCGGGACAAGCGGGGAGCGCGTGTGAATGTGCGGAGGGGCGCCCCGGTTTCCCCGCGTGGCTGGTTCCTCCCTGCGCCGCTTATAAGGCCTCTCTCTGCTCGCAATCCTAGAGGGAGGGAGGGAGGGGAGGGGGGAAAGAGGTCTCTGCCTGCTTGGTGCTGCCCCCTCCTTTCACCCCCCCCCCCCCCCGCTCCGCCATCTGCGAGCTAATATGGAAAATATGCACGCGAGTGTGTGTTTGTGTGTGCGTGTAAAGCGATAAAGGGGTTGGCTTTGAACCTCCTTCTCCTTTGAGGCCTTCGATTGTTGTTACTTCCCCTCCCCCCCTCTTAAAAACCAGGGGGTGAAATCTCTGGTGTGAAAATGCCCGAATTGTTTGCATGTTCCACCCCCCCATCTCCTCCTAGAATGGAGGGGAGGGGGAAAAAAACCACACAATTGTGTGGGCCCCTGCCCAGCCTGAAAGAGTGTGTTTGTGTCTTGTGTTCTGTTCACAAACAAAGATAATTGTTCCCCTGCCCCGTTGCTTTGGAAGGGGAAGCGATGAGCTAACTGAGATAAGTTAAGGGTGGTTCCAGTGTGGGACTCTCCAGCTGCTTGGGACTACAAGCACCATAATTCCCTCACTGCATTCCGGTTTTGGAGAGAAACGCTGGGGTGTGACTCTGGATGTTCCCCGCCTTGACCCAAATCCCTGCAGGTAGAAAAGAGGGCCCTTACCTTGACCCAAAGAGGGCCCCGCCTTGACCCAAATCCCTGCAGGTAGAAAAGAGGGCCGAAAGGCTCGAGTGTCCCCTTACCTTGAGCTGCTAGCTGTCAGGATGCAGGGCTGTGTGAGACAACTGTAGGGAGAAGTCCTCGGGCATCAAGTTGGAAGGGACCTTGGAGGTCTTCTCGTCCAACCCCCTGCTCAAGTACCCTTTCAGACATGTGGCTGTCCAGTCTCTTCTTAAAAGCCTCCAGTGATGAAGCACCTACAGCTTCTGGTGGCAAGCAGTTCCACTGCTTAATTGTGCTCACCGTTAGGAAGTTTCTCCTTAATTCCAGGTTGCTTCTCTCCTTGATTCGTTTCCATCCGTGGCTTCTTGTCCTGCCTTCGGGTGCTTTGGAGAATAATTTGACCCCCTTCACTCTGTGGCAGCCCCTCAAATACTGGAAGATGCTATCATGTCACTCCTAATCGTTCTTTTCTCTGGACTAGCGAAACCCAAATCCTGCAACTGTTCTCCATACGTTTTAGTCTCCAGGCCTTTAATCATCCCAGCCTTATAAAGTGGTATAGTCCTAATTTTGCCTTGGATACACGCTTGCTTTGTGTGCAGGTTGACCCGTAGCCTGGAGTAGCCCTTTCTCATGGGGGCTGCTTTACTGGGAGTATTCACCACTTGCAAAAAGCTATTTCTGGTTTTGTTTGGCCTGGGCCCCCAGGGAGACCTTTTGTCTTGTAAGGCTAATATAGGGGAAATTTATGGGATTTTTTTCCTAAAAAGGTCCCTGTAGGCCTGAGTTTCTTGGACTAGCTTTGGTTTTCCTCCAGGCAAGCTGGACTACAACTCCCATGATCCACCAACACCAACTGAAGGCTTGCATCGGCCTGTCTACAGCCAACTGGGGAACAACTCACCTGGAGAACCTACTAACAATGTGTAACTCTTCCTTGCTGTAGTTCTAATCCAGTGATGGCGAACCTTTTTCGCACAAGAGTGCTGAAAAAGCTGCTTGGAAATGTGCGTGTGTGCGTTCGTTGGAGCCATGCTCTGGAAAAGCCGAACTTCCGGGTTCTAGCATGCATGCACACACAATGATCAGCTGATTGGCACGCAGGCCAGTTTTCGGCACTGCGCGAAGGGACCACGCTCCAGAAAAACCGAACTTCCGGTTCTGGTGCACATGCACACCCGACAAACAGCTAGCTGGTATGAATGTGCATATTGGTTTTGGCACTGCCACGTGTACGAATGACAGTTGATCATCGGGTGCGTATGTGCACCAGAAACCCAGAAGACAAACAGGCAAGGCCGCGTGTGCCGGGGGACATGGCTTCGCGTGCCACTTTGGGCACGCGTGCCATAGATTTGCTACCACGGTTCTAACCAGAGGTATACTGCCCCTGGATGTGGAGGCTCCATTTGGCCTGATCACATGGCTTAGGACCTTCTAGGGCTGCTGCTTTCAGCTGGCCCTCCTGGGAGTGGATCATGAAAGGGCAGATCTTGCAAGACAGGTGGGGGGATCTTGTGTCCCTGGTTCAGCTGACCTCAAAAGAAGAAGAAGAAGAAGAAGAACGGGGCAATGTCTAGACAGAAGGAAGGGACAAGGAGTTCTGCAAATCCAGAGCTGATGTCGGGGAATTTGGCTTGCGTAACTTGCGGTGAAAGGCTGCCGGGTCCAGATGGCTCGAAGATAACCTTGCGATGGAGAAATGCAAGGGCAGAGCAGGCTCGGTGGAACCCCCATGCGCAAGGGCAGTCTGCCTGCTTGGGTCGGAGTGGGGGAAGAGTTTCTCGCGCTGTGCATCTTCCGTTTCTCTACAAGGACACCTGGGGCCTTGTCCTCCTTCCTTGATGTGCGAGGCATTCTCAGCAACCGACATTCCCTGTTTCCCCGAAAATAAGACCTCCCCGGATAATAAGCCCAATCGGACTTTTGAGCGCATGTGCTAAAATAAGCCTCCCCCCGAAAATAAGCCCTCCCTGAAAATATTTAAATGCAGAACTGGAAATCAGGCAAAAGGAGCCCCATTTTGCTTTACGCCCCCCAAAATAATAAGACCTCCCCGAAAATAAGGCCAAGCGCTTATTTTGGGGTTCAAAAAAATATATAAGACAGGGTCTTATTTTCGGGGAAACATGGTAGTTATCAGAGCCGACATGATTTACAGGTAGTCCTCGACTTACAACCACAGTTGAGCCTGAAATTTCTGTCGTTAAGCGAGACACTGGTTACATGAGCTTTGCCCCGTTTTACGACCTTCCTTGACGCAATGAAGTGTGAATCCTTCCGTTTGTTAAGTTAGGGAACCTGGTCGTTAAATGAACACTGACTTGGCTTGTCCGAAGGTCACAAAAGGGGAAATCACACAATCCGGGGACACCGCAACCATCATAAATATGAGTCAGTTTGCCAAGCACTCAAATTTTGATCCCTTGGCCACGGGGATGCAGCAACAGCGGTCAAAATACGGTCATAAATCACTTTCTTCACCGCCGTTGTAACGTTGAACCAGTCACTAAATGGACTGTTGCAAAGCGAGGATTACCTGCGTGGCTTTCAATATTTTTCACAAGGTGCTCAGAGTTTTTGTCTCCCAAGTCAACCGTTTCTGTACATGAGAGTTGGGTGTTTGACTCTTGAACAAAGTCAAACAATCTTTGCTCCCCAAGAGATAATTTTAACTCTGTGGAGGATTTGCCAATTGAGAAACATCCCTTCCCCCCATGAGAAATGATGGGGTGTTTCTGGATCTGATCTAGGAGAAAGATTTAATCCAGTTCTGAAGGCACCTGATTTTTTGAGGTGGGGGAAGGAGGTGAGGTTGGGGGGTGGGAGATCTGGGTTCTCTTGGCTGTTGCAGATGAGTAGATGGGCTAAAAATCCAATTTATTCTGTTTCGGAGTCGTGTGGCAATGAGCTGGGTGATGTATAAATTTAATAAATAAAGGGAGATATCCTTGTAAACCGCCTTGGGCGCCTACTGGAAAGAAGGCTGTTGATCTAAAACAAATATTCAGTGTTTCCTTGGTGTCTTCCTTGATTTGCAAGATCATAAGCCAAGACTCTCCATCCTTGGCCACTTTAAGACTTGTGGACTTCAACTCCCAGAGTTCCCCAGCCGGCTGGGGAACTCTGGGAGTTGAAGTCCACAAGTCTTAAAGTGGCCAAGGATGGAGAGCCCTGCAGTAAATATAGTAGCCCAAGGATTTTAACACCTCTCCTTGCTTTTAGGGAAAAACAAAGAAACAAACAAACCCCAAATCAGTTCGTTCTTCCTCCTGGATTTGGTTCCTTTTGCAGCTTCCGATGAGGAAACTCGAGGTCAGCGAGGAAACATATTCTGGCATCGCTCTGTTTTTCTGTTGGGTGTTTTGGAAAGAAGGTTATCTCATCCTAGTCCTTAGCTGGCAGAACTTTTTCGGGTTTTTTGTTTCGCTGCCAGGATATTTGCATGCAATTAAACAACAGTATTAACAGCAGTGGTGCGTGACCAAATTTGGTGGAGAAATCAGATTTTCCAACGTTTGACGTTTT